TCACCAGGTTAATGTAGACTCTGGTTTGGTGCCAGTAGCCTGGAGCTACTCAGCAAGTCTCAGAGCACACCCAGACCAGTTGCTGTCTGCCTGGGGCTGGAGGACTCTGATATCAGTTTTCCCAGAAAGACTGCAGTTTGGGCGGGGCTGGCTGCTGGCAGAGAAAGTACCTCAGGCATTGAGGGAGTTGGGTGGATGGGTTCTCAGTGAGTCAGCCGGATGGAGCAGCGGAGCTCACCAGGCCAATCAGATTCAGATTTGGCTGGAAGTGTTGGGGGCGGGCTCAACACAGGAAAGATGGCTCCCACCTGCCTGCCGGCTGCATGGGAGAAGGACCCCACTTGGGAAAATGATGACCATCCTCCATCCCTTGCTCTGCAGCCACACACCTCAGTCTGTTCTCCATGTGTCTCCAACACCCCAAGTCACCGTCCCACCACTGGAGCCCAAGGTGAGTGCCTGCAAATGAATGAATTGTACATGGGCTGTTTAAGAGGACGCAGCCTTCTGTCCCACCCAGACAGTCAGAATCCCCACTGTTTTTCACAGCCAGGCGTTGTGGGAACTTTTCTTCCCAGCACCAGTACTCCAGGCTGCGGAGGTCAGTGTGGGGCTGGGGTCTCTCACCCCTCTGGGGAGAACCTCCATGGCTGAGGTTTCCTTCCTGATTCTCATCCACCACACGCAGGTGTGGGGCCTGTTCCACATCGCCACCCCTTCTACCAGATTCGGCGTAGGTGGTTTTTCTTTATATCCTTAGTTATAAAACTTCCATTCAGCTAGACTTCAGGTGGTCTCCAGGTTGATTGTTCTATAATTTAGTTGTAATTTTAATGTGGTCACGGAAGGAGGCGGGCAGAGTATTTATCTACTCTGCCAGCTTGGATCTAGGATAACTTTCTGTGGGGATCCTTTTGAAATGCCAAGAGCCTCTATGAAGACAGTTAAATAACTTAACCTATTAAGTTGAAAAAAATTAGCATTAAGGCAGCGGGAAAACTTCAGCTGTGAAACCCAAACAATAAACATATGAGAGACTTCATTAATTATTTTAACTGGCATGATGGGCTTAGCATCATCTTAGGGCTGTTAAATATCTATGACGTGACACTGTATGTAATTTGAAGGGGTTTTCTTATGTTTTATGGGTATCTGATTCATGGTTACTCCACTGTTTCTTAGGTTTTGTTTTTGTGTTTTTTTGCGGGGAGGGTTATTGTTTGGTTTAGAGATCCTTCCTGCCCCCACGTCTCCCCCTTAGGCCCGGTTTACACTGGTCTGAGACGGGGCACTTGTCAGGGCGTGGGCCTCTCATACTGGCCCCATTACGGGGGAGACAGGTGCTCACCCACACTGCTCTGCTTTCCAGTTTATAGATACATTGAGAAGGTCCTGGAACCACAAACACCTTAACAGCCTTTCTGGTTCTGATATGACACAACATCTGATGTTTGTTAATTTTAGTGACCACAATTAGGATGAATCTTAACTGAAAGTGGGGCTCATTTATACCGAACGACTTCTGTAGTCACACAGGGCTCCCCCAGTTACTGACAGCACCCTGACATAGTGCTTTTCAGAAGTGACTGCACCTGAAAGCTTCTAGCCAACTGACGTACAGAGGCAGAGGCACCACTGGCACCAAAGGCAGAGAATTTTATGATAAAGCATGTGACTTTTGCAAACTTCTGTTCCTTCTTGTGTCCTGAAATGTGTTTTATATCCTGTGTGATGTAATCGAGTTGTACAAGTTGCAGCTAAAAGCAGAACTAATGCATTGGGCATTTTCAGTGCCTGAGGGGTGCAAAGGGTGTCAGCATCCCAAGTCTACAATCTCGCTAGTGTGGGCTGATGGGGAAGCCCAGGGGTTTGAAAAAGGGCCACGTTCCCAAAGAGATCACAGCTAGGCTTTTGCTCTTCCTCGTGTGATGGAAACAAGGATGTGTGCAGGGGCTGTGTTGGGGAGATTGTGCTAGGAGACAGGGCTGCAAGGTGAGCTGATGCCACTGGCCTGAAGAGCTTTGTACACAAGTATCATTCCCTCCACCTCTTGTTTAGCTGCTCGCTCTGCAGAGATGCTCATTTTCCTATTATGCTTCTCATGTACTGATAACTCCCAGGTTAATAAGCTTGAGACACACCTGGTCCATTTTGGAAAACAGGCTACAATTGTGGTGAAAGAAGTTTCTAGACTTTCTTTTGAGAATATTTCAGTTGCTGAGCCAAAAGTCTGTGTGTTCATGCTGCCTATCTAGGTAAGCATGCTGGGGTGGCCTCAGAGGGACATTGAAGTCCACTCTTCTTTGTTTCAGTGACTGAGCAAACCACCATGATGCTGTAGAACCGTTGCACATTTTCCCTGAAGGGAAAGGCTTGCTTTATCTAAAAATGTCTATTGCAGCCAGGAGCAAATCTGCATTGTAGTAATTTGCTATTTTCTGCTCCAAGGACTGAAAGGCAGACAGACTTTGAGCTTCTTTAACTGCTTCCACTTAGGCGTCTCTCACTGAAGAGCATACATATTTTTTTCGAGATTCCAGCACAAGCGGAACTTGCCTTTAATTGTTCAGTTGCTTTATTTTGAGCCATGGACTTCTAGAACACGACCATTAAGGCTTTCAGCCTTGGCACTGCCGACATGTTTGTGTGGATAATATCCATGATGGGGACTGTCCTGTGAATTGTAAGATATTTGGCAGCACCTCTGGCCTTTGCTACCCACGGGCATCCCTCCCCAAGCTCCTGGTATCACCATCAAAGATGCCCCCAGACACCGCTAAATGTCGTCTGGGGGTAATAACATCCCTCAGGTGGAAACCATTGTCCTCCAGACAATGAAGATTTTTATTAAAACTCTAAGCACATTGCATAGTCTCAAACCATCATTTATAGAATTGCACAAACAGGTATCTGGAAATTTGCACAGAAACTGAGACTTTGCGCTACCAAATTTTGGACTCTCTCTTCTAGGTGACCCTCGGCAGCACAGAATGACAATGAGGACATGTCATCAGAAAGCTCGCTTGGGACTTCTGTGCAGAGTTCCAAATCCTGCAGATTCTATCAGTTCATTAGACTAGATCATGTTGGGTCTTTTCCAGTTGAAAAACTGAATTTTTTTTGAAAGCATGGCAGTTGGATTTATAATATTTAGGATTAAAAGGGAGGATGAGAAAAAATTTATTTTTGTCATGAGTGACCTTGATTGAATTTAAGAGTCTGCCTGGAAGAGCCAGTAAAATGTTAGACAGAATATTGTGAGATGTGCCTGTGGTCACAGTAAAAACAGATCCCAGATGCTTTGAGGGTGTCAAGAAAAATGAGCTGCAATGAACCTGTGTGAAGGTTCGTGTTATGTGTCAGCTTGGCTGAGCCACGGTGCCCAGATATTTGGTCAAACATCACTCTGGATGTTTCTGTGAGGGCGTTCTGGGTGGGAATGAATATTTAAATCAGTGGACTTTGAGTGAAGTATGGTACCCATCCTAATGGTGGTGGGCCTCGTCAAATCAGTTGATGACCTTAATAGAACAAAGACTGACCTCCCCCCACCCCTTCCCAAGCAAGAAATGAATTCTGCTAGCAGATGCCTTTGAACTTGAACTGAACGCTGGCTCTTCTCTGGGTCTCTAGTCTGCTGGCCCACCCTGTAGATTTTGGACTTTCCAGTCTTCACTAATCACGTGAGCCAATTCCTTAAAACAAGTATCTGTGTATCATTATCAATCATCTATCTGTCATCTAACAGTATTTATGATCTATCAATATCTATCATCTATTTATATCTATCAATATGTATCTATCATCTATTTAATCATCTATAGCTATCTATCTAATTATCTATCAATATCTATCTATCTATCTATCATCTATCTATCTATCTATCTATCTATCATCTATCTATCAATCATCTACCCACCTACCTACCCACCCACCTCCAACTGATTCTGTTTCCGGAGAACCCTGGCTAATACAACTATTGAGGATATTTCAAGTACTCGCGGTTGCCTGGTTAACCATCACCCCCCCCCACCCCCGTTTTCCACGAGCATGTGGTTATAGCTGTCTGTCTCCTGGGAGGGTTACGCAACGCCCAGCTTTTGCTTTGTTTTGTGCTGCAGAGGCCAGCAGGATGCCAAGTCTTGGGGAAGAAAAGTTACTCTGGGTTTGTAAGACGAAGCATTTAACCAGCATGGCAGAATGGCAGCTAAAGCCCCACAGGCTGCCAAGGCAGGGGGCAGGTGTCCTGAATTAATTACAAACCCACTGGGTCTGGCAGTGTCTCCCCTGCTCCCGGGCGCCCTCCGCAGCCCTGCCCTTTCCCGGGGGCCCGAGGGCGGCATCTCCACGGCTGGTCCTCATTCAAGCCATGGGCCTGTCGCAGCCTGCAGTTTTGCTCCCGCCCTGCACACGGGCTCACCTGAGTCCACTCCTAGCTCGTGGGGGAACCAGGACCAGGGATGGGGAGCAGTACTCTTCCTGTTTGGGTGTGCGCTTGCGTGCACATGAGTCAGCAGTTGAGATCCTAACGTGCCCCAGGTCCTCCCCTGACCAATGGGGCACTGGGTGAGAAAAGCTCAAATCCGTGAGACCGCATCTCGGGGCTGAATGATTGAGACCATTTTTGGATCCTACGCATTCGGGTTACAGGCCGCCTTTGGGGAAAGGCAAATGTCAGAAGCTGCTCTCCCCCGACCCCCGACCCCGGCTCACGGCTAATGACTCCTCAGTTCCGCCCGAAGGGCCCTCCTGCACAGGGCCAGCTGCTCGGCCCTGTAAGATGTTTTCATCACCCGCCTCAAGCTTTTCCATTTCAGGACAGTTCAAGGTAGATGACTAGACTCGAGGTGCCAGGCGTCCAATAGTTCGACTCTGTGTCTGGGAAACAATTTGTGCAAATACCCGTCACGTATGCGTGTTCCTATTTCTACCGAAACCATCTGGCAACCCTTGTAAAATGTAAAAGAAAAATCTCTAAAATACAAGCAAAAACAAACGACGAGAAGAAATGCAGTGTGTTTATTGCAATCATTATTATTCTTGAAGTTAACAATTGATAAACTCATTCAGGACACCATTTTGCTTTCAGTGACCAAGAGCCCACAGGTGCGTGCCAGGTGCTGCTGGAGGTGCCTGAGACACGCCCCTGCGAGACAGCCTGGCCCTCCCCGTGCAGAGCATCAGCGATACACCTTAATTCCTGCAGTGGAGGTGCAGTGGCCCGCAGCCAGCTCGCCCTGCCTGTCTCAGAGTCCCTTCTGAGACGCGGGCTCCAGGAGGTGGCCGGGGAGGCTGCAAGTCCAAAAGCCAGCCTCAGTTTCCGCCAACACCCCAGCGATTAAGATATACCAGGTGTGGCAAGAAGGGCCTTTGGGGGTTCAAGCCCGGCCTCTGAAGTGGGGTGGGAAACCAAACACCGCCCTCAGAACGCGAAGTGCAGACCTTTTCCCTTAGGGAAGGGCGGGAGGTGGGTCTGCCTAGGGGTGTGTCGCTGTGACCCATCAGCAGCCTTGGGTTTGCTAATGGCCTCAGAGGGGCTGGTGGTGGGCGCGCCGCCACAGCACCACTGCAAACACCACCGGTGGCGAGTGGGGCAGTCACTGCGCCGTACCCCAAAGCATCTGCTCTGCAGGAGTTTAGCTGCTGAGGAAAGGAGCCCCCTGGCTTTTTGGAAAGCAGGGCACTCTACAGCCGCCAGCCAGAGAGGAGCCGAGGCTGGCTCTGGGCAGGAAATGTGCGAAAGCGGGGCAACCGGTGGGCCCAGTGCACGTGGCCCAGGCAGGCAGGAGGAACTGTGGAGGGCTGCACTGATTGACAAACAGGTTTAATTCAAATGGAATGTGGGTTTTCTACCTTTCCCTGGAAAGACAGACGCAGGTTTTCATTGGGTCTCTCTACGCATCCGCCGCTTTTGCTGTAGCGTCCCAGAATTAGCTACACGCTGCTCCCCCACCCGGTCAGGGATCACCCCAGAGCTCTCGAGCAGCTCTAGGGGTGCGCACTGAAAAATGCAGGCTTGGGACCCACCCTGAGCTCTCGTTCCGGAAGTGCTCCTTCGGGCAAACTGCCTACATTCTAATTTTGCAGCAAGATGACTCCTGGAATAAAAGAGCCATTTCAGAGACACAAGCTTTCCTTCTGCTGTCGGGGGACGGGCTGGTGCCGCCCTGCACAGCGATCCCTCGTCACCCAGGGAGAGAATTCTCCGTGTTGCTGTCGTGTCTCCCTGCTCTGCCTTTCTGGCACCCTCCCCCACAGTTACCATCCCAATTCCTTACGCTCCCCCAGGTGTTAAGACTACTGTCCTTGGACTAAAAATTATAAATTGATTGAGCTGTTCCCCTAACCTTAATTTAACCGTCCCAAATTTGTGCCCTCTTGGTTTTAAGACCACAGGCAGGGACATTAGGCAATTGCTGAAACAGAAAACTAAAGCTAAACTGTGAATAACTTCGTTTTATTCAGGGCCGTCACATCCTCCCAGAAGCCCAGGGAGCCTCCCACCAGCCAGGACTCCTGGAAGCACGGGTTGGGGTCTGTTTCTAGATTCTGACGTGGAAATCTAAGGCAAAGGAAGGCGCTTTGCTCTGCCTTAGATTTCCCAATGGAGCAGCGTTTTGAAGAAAATGCAGTTCTCTTGGCCGGGGAAATGCCAAATGTTGGGGAGCCGAGGCATGGCTGGTGAGGGTGCTGGGTCCTTGCCGGTCACTTGCGAGGCTGCTGGATATGCGGGGTCCTCGGGGAAGCGTGCTTGTCCATGGAGGCGTGGGGCTTCTGGTGAGCCACCTGGGCGGCTGCCGGGGGGAAGTCTTTGTCACCCTGTCAGGAGACACAGAACAGCTGGGGTCATGCAGGAGCAGGGCCATGCCCCCACACCCACCGCGTCCCTGCAGGTCGGGTGACGGAATGGGGACCTGTGGGCAGGCAGAAGCCTGTGTCCTGGGGTGGTGGGGGTCCCGAAGCTCTCTGGGGAGAAGGGGCACGGAGGCCCACGCCCCACCCAGGGGCGAGAGTGTTAGCTGTCTCTGTACCCACACCATGAAATCAGGTCACCATACGCTCACCGGGAACTATGTTGGGTGCCTTTCTTCTGCTAGGATGGCTCTTGTAATCTTTTGAACTGGGGGCAAAACAGGCCCAAATCCAGGTTCTTAAATTCAGCTTTGCCACCACGGCTGTGAGTAGGGGCACCGGTACGGTGGGAAACACACCAGGCAGGGCTGAAAAGTGTGAGACGGCGCCTGACTCACCCCGCTGAGCCTAGAAGGAACCCAGGGAGGAACGGCCTTCCTGTGCCAACAGTGCACGTGTGGCAGGGGCTGCGCCAAGGCTGCTTTGGCTGAGCCAGCGGCCATGGCTGACTTTGGACTTGTGTCCATGCTGAACTTTCGCACATGGAGTAGATTGCGTCCCGTCTGTCCCAGTCTCTGGATGGCTGCAGTGAGCTGTCTTTGGCAATGGCATTTTCTGTCTGCATGATATACTAAAGCGCTCAGTGTGCCGAGAGCCACGGAACCATGGGTGGTACCAGTGTGCCATCCCCAAAAGGCAGTTTGCTGGTGGGAGGTCTATAGTTACAGCCAAATCCTGGGTCTCACCAGAGGAGGTGGCTTTTGAAACGTAAAGGGTGTGACTAAAACCCATGAGTTTAGTCCAGGGCTCAGCAAATTTTCTGCAATGTGTCAGATAGTAAATATTTTAGGGTTTGCGGGTCATTCTCTCTGCCTCAACTATTCGCCTTGGCCACTGTAGCATGAAAGCAGCCAGACAATGCACAGTGGGTCTGACTGTGCCATGAAAACTTTATCCATGGACACTGAAATATGAATTGCATACAATTTCCACATGTCATGACGTAGAATTTTTATTTCGATTTTTTCAACCGTTTAAAAAATGTAAACATATTCTCTCAGCTCACAGGCCCCCCAGAAACACTGGGCCTGTGGATAGTTTGCTGAGCCCTGGATGAGCGTGAAGAGAAGGGAGGGGGTGAGGGAGAGGCACTGTCCCTAGGTCCCTTCCTACGTGTGCCACTGGACTTGCGCTAGGAGAATGGGGTTTATCAAGGACAGAAGGACAGGAGACCACACGCGGAGGCCCGTTGCATGAAATGAAATGGCTCTTACCCGGGCGATGACACCGGAGATGAACACGGTCGGTTTAGGTGGACTGCAAGACAAGGGAAAAGGCGATTTAACAGCACAGCTCACAGGCCGTGGCAGGCGATGCAAAGGTGGACGAGGCTGTCTCAGGGGAGGGTGAGCGGCAATGGAAGCGGGAAGCAAAGCTCTTCTTCTGCTATTTCTCTCAATGCCCAACTGGAAGGGGGGTGGGGCTCAGGTGGAGTCCTCCTCCTCCTGAGGTGATTCAGACAAAGAGCGAGAGGAAAAGATTGCAGCCAACAGCAGGTGAGCTGCCGAAAAGCACCTTCTTTTTGTTTTTCGGTTCATCCTCCGAATGTAACCATGGGCCAACCCACAGTTACGGTTTCAGGAAATTATGGACACAGGAACTTCCTGAAGCCAGAAAACAGGGTCACACTGGATGAATCCGGAGACTCCAGCTAGGGGCTCCCCGTCCTGCAGGCTGGGTCCCCTACCACAGTCCTCGTGGCTTCTAGCAGCTTCTAACGGGTGACAGCCCAGAGCCAATGCACAGCTCCTGGCTCCCATGGGGACTCAAGTAGGAAAACTGTCAGGTCCCTGTGAAGCTGTTGTTTCTTAACATCTTAGATCATACTGAGCTGGCCTCCACCATCACCAAAACTGAGGGGCGGATTACAGGACCAGAGTAACACATGCTCGTTGCTGAGAAGCAGACAAATGAAAACATAGTCACTGTTAACACATTGGCTATTCTCCTAGACTTTCTGTTGATGGATTCATGTTTTCTCACAAAAAGACTCATATTGTTTTGTAATCTGCTTTCTGCACTTAGGATACGGTGAGCATACTTCCATGTTATTATATGCTCTTCTATGCATTTTAAAAATGGCTGCACGTGTCCTAGTTTTAAAACATCTGAACAGTTTCAGGGAGCATCCAAGTGTGCACACCCCCGAAATGGCTGGAGCAGAGGTGAGGAGGCCAAGGGGCAACAGGTGACTATGAGGCGAGCCCAGCAGGGAGGGTGTGATGCGGAGAGCTGGAGGAAGTGGGTAGTTTTGTTTCGGGATCATTTTGCTGGGCAGTCACAGCGGAGTCCATTCTTTGAGCTGCCCGCCTGCCTCCCGTCAGCTCTGCTGCTGGGTCCTTTGAAGAAAAAGGCCTGTCTTAGCTTCGTGTGCTGCAGGCGAAGTCCCAGCGTTCAGAAAGTTCACCGCTCATCATATCCCAGAGTTCAGCACAAACACCAAAACTCCCCCAAGTAATTGCTGTTACTCCGCGAGGTTAAGAAACTTGAAGTCTTACTAAGCAGCACAGAAATGTGCCCCACGTGACCCTGCTTTTAGTTAGCTTTTGGTGTGTGGTTAAGAGACTTGGATTTTTTCCCCTTTTATGATTTGGCCACAGAATCAATAGCCAGCCAGCGGTGAGTAGGCTCAACACAAGTGTAAACCCCTCCGTTGTGCGCATGGATTTGTCTGAATCCTAGTACCTCCCGCAGCGACTGCCCCACACCATCCGGGCGCGGCTCCAGGGCCCTCACACCAAGGGTTTCGCATCCAAAGCTTCCGTGTTCTGGATTCTAACGCTTTATAAATGTTTGAAGTAGGGATGGTTTGGTTCTGAAAACTGATTATGCAGCTTCGCCTCCAATAAGGCCTGGCTCTCTTAATGCACCACGCGCTGGTGATGGCTTCCAGCACCTCCGTTGTTTATTGGCTTGTAACCCAGGTCAGGGCCCTGAAGGCAGAAACAGAGACACCCCCCCACCCCCACAAGCAAGAACCTGCCGAGAAAGTCACCTACAGGGGGTGAATCTAGTCAGAATAAACACACAATAGAGGAGATTAGCTTCTCCACCCCACTGAGCCCCAAATGTGGCCCAGGAAGCTTGGGTCATTATATATATGTATATACACATGCAAATATAAAATATATATATCTTCCCTCTCTCTCTCTCGATAACATAATGTTCACTGTATTGTTGAAAAGCAGACAAGCAAAAAAAGTTAAAATCATTTTTTTTTTTTTTTTTTTAAGCTGAGCCATCCTGCTACCTGTTGGCAGCTCTGTGGCTGCTCAGCTCGGGCTGGACTCGAACCGCTGTTGCTCAGAGCTCAAACCCTTGAGCGAGCTCTTAACCAACTGAAATGATTTTACGGCCGGCCCTAAAATCATTTCTAATCCCATGTTACTATGTGTGGAAAACACACAGAACTGGACTATAAAAACTGTAACAGAGCCGGTAGGCTGTGCTCCGAGGAGACAGAGCGTCTGGCCCCTGGGAGAGCAGGTGGCCCAGCCACAGGCACAGCGCCAGCCTGCAGTGGCCACCCCAAGGGTCTGCTCCCAGCACCCGTTCCCCTCTCTGTGTGTGGGAAGGGTCTCCAGGCCTCAGCCCCACCATGGGGCCTCAGAGGTGACGCTTCGCACTCGGGCCCTGGGTGGCTCCTACGTTAAAACACCATGAGGGTGGGTTCTGGATCTGGACTTGAGCACGTCTGGGAAGTGCGTGTGTGGATGGTTAGAAGTGGTCACAGTGACCTTGCTCCGACCCCGACATCAGAAACTGCAGGCAGAAGCTGCAGCCTTGCTTCTGAGTCTGTGGCCAAGTAGCAGGTACGATTTTTATTCTCCTGGCGCCCACTTTCATGTCTCTTTCAAACGAGCTTCTCACGGAGACTGGCAGCATGACTGCTGGATGGCTGCGGAGATTCCCCCTCCCCCCCCCAAGCACGGCTCATTCCCTAAGAGGTGTCAGGGGCTGGGGGCAGATCCCAAGGGCCCACATGGAGCATTACGATGACTCTCTCTACGGCAAAAGCCTGCGGATCCGGCACAGCTGAGGAGAGGTTCTTGTCTAAGGTGGCACTTTTTTTGTACCAACTTCAAAGACTTGTGCTGTTTTGCAAAGTCTTGTCTGGGCTGGAAAGGAGACTCCGGCCTGCGTCAGCTCTGGTAAACGACCCTCTACGGACAGAGTGCAAGCTCGCCCTTCCTGTCCAAGTTTGCTTCAAAACCCCACCTAGCTCGGCAACTAAGTTTCCAAAAAATTTTATTTACCTTTGAAGCCATTTTTAATTGTACAATTCAGTGCCATTAAGTACACTCCCAGTGTTACACAGCCATCAGCACCATCCATTTCCAGAACTTTCCATCACCCTCAACAGGAACTCTGTGCCTAGGAAACAGCTCCCAGCCCTTCTCCTCAACCCGGTAACGGCTGCACTCCTTTCTGTCCTAAGAGCTGAACCGCTCCCGCACCTCAGATATGTGGAATCACACACTATTTGTCCTTCTGTGTCTGGCTTCTTTCACTGAGCACAATGTCCTCCAGGTTCATCCATGTTGTAGTGTGTGTCAGAATGTCCTTCCTTTTTTTTAGGCTGGATAATATTCCCCTGTGTGGACAGGCCGCATTTTGTTTATCTATTTATCTGTGGATGGACACTGGGGCTGCTTCTGCCTTTTGGCTCTTGTGATGACTGATGCTACGAACACTGGGGTACCGGTATCTGTTTGCGACCCTGCTTTCAGTTCCTCTGGGTGGCTGCTCAGGAGTGGAACTGCTGGGCCGCATGGTAATTCTCTGTTTAGTTTGAGGCACTGTCAGACTGATTTCCAGAAGTGCTCTACCATTGTGGATTCGCCCAGCAACGCACACAGGTCTCGGCGTCTCACATCCTCACCAACACTTGTTATTTTCTGGATTTTTTTGGGTACTCATCATCCTAATGCGTGTGAAGTAGTATCTCATTGGGGTTTAGGTTTAGCAAAATTTTTAAAGAATAACCTTCTTTGCATCAAGGGATAGTGACTATAAATCTGTATGGATCATTCATTCAAGGTCTTTATGACATAAGCCCCCCGCCCCGAAGTCTTCTCTCCTCTAAAACTTACTGTAATTGACGGTAAGGACATATGGCCGCCACCTGTGAAAGATGACAGGAGGCTGGCCCCTTGCATAAACAGATGCTAATAGCGATGTCTGTTTGCACACAGCTCTTAGTTTGCCTGAGCACGTGCTGCAGTGCAGGTTTCCATCAGGCTTGGCCAAAGGGCGCCAAACTCAACGCTTTTCTGTCTACAATTAATAGCATCTCAAAGTGGTAAGTGATTGTTTATTATATTTCCATAGTAAAAACACGTTTTAAACTCGTTGGGATATGGTAGCTTAAACAAAATTCACAAACGAGAAACCCCGGTAAAGAGTCTGCTTGCAAAGCTGTGTTTGCAAAAACTCGGTATTTTACATTCCATTAGGGTCCCATGCAAAGCATAACCTGCATTTCCAAGATTCTAGAAGCTGTGATCACGTCTTTGAGGATTTATTTAATTTGGTAAATATCACTCTGACAGATGTTGTTTTGAAGATGCAACATTACTTTCTCTCAGGAAACAGAGACAGTGAAAAATATCACTCCTGCCCTCCCCACATCCTCAGGCCTCTCCAGTTTTTAAAAACCACACGTATTTAGAATTAAAGGAACTGCAAGGGAGGCGTAATTAGCGGGATCAGAGCCCAGGTAACACTTCCTATACATCAACAGGCACTGCAGCTCCGTCACATCTGGCATAAGCGGCCCGAGTGTTCGATGCGGTGGGTTCCAGCGTCTATCTGTTAAGGCCCACATCACATCTTTACAGGGTCATTATCGGTCATTGGTCCTGAACAAAAGTTTCCTATTATTTATAAACTTCCTTGATGGATAAAGTTGATGCCATGTTGGCACTCCAGACAGGCAGGATACAATGCCAGAAATGCTCCTTGAATGTGACCCTGGGGAATGCAGACGTCCTCAGACTAGTGTGATACTCTCCTCTTTAAATGAAAGTCCTCAGGGCTGAGAAATGGAATTCATAGTTTAAAACTCCCCCCGAAATCTAAACCAGCGATAACTGAAATAAATGTTAATGTATTTTATTCAACTCCACATATCCAAAATACTCCCAGTCCTCATATAATAGCAAATCTATTGAGATCACAGAACTTTACATTTTTTGTGTGTCCTAAGACTTCATGACCTGGACTGTCAGTGCAGGTCCTGGGCGATGTGACGTTTT